TGTAGATGACACATAACACTTTGATGGCTAGCTTCCGCTAGTTTTATGGCGTTGATCTTCATTAAGGAAGTGGAAACGAGGACGTGCCAGATATTTCTCCCAGCCTGAACCTTCTGCTTTAGCTTTATGCTGTATCTGTATTTACAGTAAATGTTCTGTCACCAAGGCTAATATGTACCAGGCATAATCCTTAGTAATTTACGGTATCTCAGCTATGTAAGTTTTCCAGTGCCCTGTACAGCAAAGTATAGAATTGTATCTCCTGTTCCATAAAAAAATGAAGCTACCAAAATTCTGTACCTGGAACATTTCACAGGGAGTGGAGAAGACACTTTTCTCTCTCTCCAACCCCCAGTATTTCAGACCCCAGACAACTAATCTTCAGAGGCATCTATATCTTGCTGGCCCAGTATTCCATTCACTAAGTGTTACAAACGATGACAGTTGCAACCAATATTAGTCAAGCTCCATTGCAAATCAGGTTTATATTCAAAATTTACAGACTTTCAGCTGTTTGCAGTGAGAAAATCAAACAAAAGCAATTGAAATAGCCCAAAACAATATCATCAGTTAAATGATATTTTTAGGCTGGATAAAGGAACTGGTTTTGGTAAAGAACTTTCAAGATTGCAGAGAGAAGTGCTGGAAAATAATGAAAAAAATTCTGTCAAAAATATATAAATTGGTGCTGGAGTGGGAAACAAAAGATGAAGAAGTAAATCTGTAATAATTCATTGGGCAAAAGATGTGGGACATAACATACAAATTACCTCATGGGAAAAGTTAAGGAATAAAGATCAAAATTTACTGCTTGCTGTCCATTAAAAGAAAACATTATGAAAATGATGTATAGATGGTATCTGACTCCTACAAGACTTGCAAAAATGTATAAGAACAGAACCAACATATGTTGGAAGTGTAAAGTTAAGGAGGATACATTCCACCATATGTGGTGGACATGTAAAATAGCTGAGCCCTTCTGGGAAATGATTTACAACGAACTGAAAAAAATGGTATAACTTTATTGAATACATTAAAGAACACTATGAGAGTTTAAAAACATTAGCAGGATTCACATAATGCTTGTAATTTAAATTAACAAAGGATAACAATAGAGTATAACAAAGTTAGATAAAGTAATTAGAGGCAGTTAAAAGGGGATGAATTCTGGAAGCCGGGGAGGGGTGGGAGGAAGTCCTGGGGTTCAGGGAACCTCATAAAGGTATTGATATGAATATGGTTTTTCTAAAATAAGTGTATATGTCTGTGTGTATATGTATACAGTGGTACCTCGTGTTACATACGCTTCAGGTTACAGACTCCGCTAACCCAGAAATAGTACCTTGGGTTAAGAACTTTGCTTCAGGATGAGAACAGAAATCATGCTTCAGCGGCGCGGCAGCAGCAGGAGGCCCCATTAGCTAAAGTGGTGCTTCAGGTTAAGAACAGTTTCAGGTTAAGAATGGACCTCCAGAACGAATTAAGTTCTTAACCCGAGGTACCACTGTATGTGTGTGTGTTTTTAAAAAAGATAATTTTTTTTGAAATTTTGAAAAGAATTAGAATAATAATAATGAAATAGCTCAACACAAGAGGTGCTTCAAGTGGTTTCCCCAAATTCAGCTGAAACTGCAACTTATACTGGCTTGTCCAGTCTCACTATTATTCAGCCTCTGCATGGCAAGCATCTTTAGTATTTAGTAGAGCAGCCTTTGGCTGCTATGACGTTCTGTAAACGAGATCCATAGCCAGATAGCAGCTTCCAGCAGCATTCCTGAGGAATCTGAGCCCATTCCTCGCACCAGAGATTTTCTGTGGGGTTCAAGTCAGGTGACTGTGATGGCCACTGTAGAACCTTCCAGGACTATTTCTGCAACCAGACCTTGGTGGAATTTGAGGTATGGTTGGGATCATTGTCCAGTGACACCGAAGCGTCAGCTTCTTCACAATCCTCCTAGGATTTCCTGATACTTCAATGAATCCAGCCTGCCTTCCACACGCTGCAAGTTTCCAGTGCTGGAGGATGCAAAGCAGCCCCAGAGCATCACTAAGCCACCACCATGCTTCACTGTAGGCAGAGTGTTCTCTTCAGAGTATGCAGCATTCTTCTTCCTGCAGACATAGCACTGATCCAAGGAGCCGAAAAGTTCCGATTTTGTTTCGTTGCTCTACAGAACAGAATCCCCAAACTCTGCAGCTTATTTATATGATTTTGAGTATATTGGAGTTGACTTTTCTTGTGCTTTTGGGTCACTACTGGTGTACGTCTTGGAGTTCTGGCATGGAAAGCATATGTGTTTTAGTCTGTGCTTTACTGTGTTCACTGAAACCTCAGTGCCCACTGCCACCATGCCTTGCTGCAGCTCCTTTGCAGTCACTTGAGGGTTTCCCCCCAGCCTGCCCTCTCAGAAATCTGGTTGCTGCCTCAGATAGCTTCTTTTTTCTGCCCTGTCCAGGTAGTGTAACTTTGAACTTGCAAAATATGCTTCCAACATTCAGTGCCTTTGCTATCTTGTTGTATCCTGTGCCTTGTTTGTGAAGGGCGATAATCTCTTCTCTTACCTTGGACCATTCTCTTGACCTACCTATATTTCTACCATGCAGCCAAATTTGACACTCAGCAAACCCCTAGTCAGTTCAGGTATTTCGTGTGTGGCAGCTGAAGCACACCTGGTGCAACTAATTAAGCCCTTGATTGGTTACATCAGGTGTGTTTGAGAAAAAACCTGTTGTATTTGTGCTGTTGTTACAGATTCTATTCAGGGGGTTGAATAATAGTGAGACAGGAGAAGCCAGTATAAGTTGTATTTTCAGCTGAATTTGGGGAAATGAAGCATCTGTTGTGTTGAGCAATTTCAATTGCTTTTGTTTGATTTGCTCATTGCAAACAGCTGAAAGTCTGTAAATTTTGAATAATTCCGATTGCAACTGTATACCATATGAATTTACAGCTGGCTAAACTCACAAAATCAACCCTAAATTATTAAATTGATGCCCCCCATCTAGGCATCAGTTTTGTTTAGAGGTGCCAGCAAACACAGTTTGTGAAATGGCATTGTCATTTGCACAGATGCTGGCTTGATCCCGCCCCTGTCTCCCTGGCAACTGAGATGTCTGCTTCTTGCTGCACTTCACAAGGTGTTAGAATAAATTCTAAAAAGTGAGAATGTAAACTGAGGGATTAAGCAGCGTTCAGTGGCTTCAAATACAAGGGGGAGGGTTAATCCTCCATTTAAGCTTTATGAATGAAGCTGCAAGAGAGTTGAACTTTAGCATGGCACTTTCTGATTGCTGCCTCTGGTCTGTTAGGCTTCTGTGTGTTTGAGTGGCCTTGCAAGCAACGGTGGAGCTGCTGCTTAAATCTTCTTTTGTGTCTTTGTCTGTGCCAGCACTGATGTAGTCTATTGAACATAGTGCCCATTCAGGACCATATTTTCCACCACTCATAATACGTAGGTGTCTGGAGTCTGGCACATGGCATGGCAGATGAGAAGCAGGCAAGGATGAGGGTGTGAATGGAAGAGGCTGGATTGTGATGTGTTCTTGGGGATGTGGAAAATAAGGATGTGTAGGGGGCATATAGAATAGAAGAATGTTGAAGAGCCAAAATACATTACATGAAATGGCTTGTGCATCTGTTGTTGGATGCTAGTATTTCACTTAGGTGGGAGATTTGATTGTTTTCTTACGTTATGGGGGAGCAATTTAAAGTAAACCTTCAAAGAAAAAAATGACGCCAACCCCCTCTGCCAAACCTGCACTAGCCCTTTCCGTAACATGCCAGTTTTGTATGATTTGTAGGAGGACATTTCACTGTTTGATTCTCATTTGAAGTGGCCACAAGCAAAAAGCTGTGCTACTTGCCTTTCTAATAATGTATGTTTCAGCTCCTATATGGAGGCCAGCAACAAGACCCTGATTGGTCGGCAAACAGCAGGCTCCAAACTCTCTTGTTTTATTTATTAAATTTATATCTTTCCCTTCTTCTCAAAGGAGCCTAGAATGGCTAACAACAAGTAATAAAACAATAAAAGCACATATATATATATATATATATATATATATATATATATATATATTTAAAAAAGTGTTTATCACATCATGTTGTGGTAGTTTGTGGCAACCTATGTATTTTTAAAGAAGAAAAATGGTTCTGCGTGATTAGCAAAAGCCACTAACAGAAATAAACTGCTTACATTTTACAACCTGTCAGCTCCCAGCTTGTGGCTGGCAAATGTGTGGTATCTTGCATAAAACCCAAAACATAATGAGAACAGCTCTTGGGGAGAACATTGGGGGCCTCTGTTGTGTAGAGCCTGTGCAACTGGTGACCAGCAGTCCACATGAAGCCATCCAGCCATTTTCTTTGGTTTACCAAGTATTTGACAGTTTCTCTGATTTTGCAGTCCCAGGGAGGCAGCACTTGGTGGCCCTCCACATGCCCCTGGTGTGCTGCCTGAATCGCAACTTGTGTGTGCTGGTTCAGTTTTACAACATTTTTCTTGCAATTTTTGCAGCTGGTTATGAGCTGAAGCTATAAACCTTGTTGTTCTCTTTATAAATCCCATTGTAGCTAGCAGGACACAACTGCAAAATATGTGGTTTTTGAGGGTTTGTTAAGACCTCAGTTCTCCTGTGAGCTAACTTTTCATCTGCCAGCTTTTGAAGGGAACAGATGTTCTCCAAACCAGACAGGCTATAACTGTGCATGCTGTTGGAAATAGGCGTTCTGCAGGAATGCAGTCTCTCTCCCCACACAAACGCTAGGTTCCCAAGCAACCCAGCCTTGCCTAAAGCAGGTCTGGGTGACGTGCACCTGTGGACATGGTTGGGAACAAAATCCTGTTCTGCAAATGCTGAAGTGAAGTAAGGAGTTGGACTAGATGACCCTTGGGGTCCATTCCAACTCTGATTCTATGATCGATTGCAGATTGCTTAATTTAGTTGTGGCTTCTGAAGGGTTGAAAAACATGTTTAACATTGTCGCCTCATTACTTCAGGTATTTGCAGAATCCAGAAAATGATGAGTGATGCAAGTGAGATGCTGGCCGCCGCTTTGGAACAGATGGATGGCATTATTGCAGGTAGAACATTAACCCAATGTTTTCTTCTGATCTGCCTGATTGCCCTTTTGCTCCTGGAGGGGATGTGTTCTGGAGTAGGAAGCCACTGAGCATGGTGAATTTCTCTCTTCAGAGAATCAAACCGAAACTTCTTTTCTCTTTGCAAATTCATTCAAACCAAACCATTAACTTGCTTGAAGCTCTCTGCTTCGCCCTCACCGCCTGCTTTTCAAAGCTGTCAGGTGATGTGGCTCCTACTGTTCATTTGAGGGAGGAATGTTTTTTCCAAATATAGGTTAAAGTGTTGTGCGTGTTGGAGGTTATCAAAGGGAGAAGGGCCATGAGGAGCAACCTCGATTAAGGTAAAGGTAAGGTAAAGGTACCCCTGCCCGTACGGGCCAGTCTTGACAGACTCTAGGGTTGTGCGCCCATCTCACTCAAGAGGCCAGGGGCCAGCGCTGTCCGGAGACACTTCCGGGTCACGTGGCCAGCGTGACATCGCTGCTCTGGCGAGCCAGAGCCACACACGGAAACGCCGTTTACCTTCCCGCTGGTAAGCGGTCCCTATTTATCTACTTGCACCCGGGAGTGCTTTCGAACTGCTAGGTTGGCAGGCGCTGGGACCGAACAACGGGAGCGCACCCCGCTGCAGGGATTCGAACCGCCGACCTTTCGATCAGCAAGTCCTAGGCGCTGAGGCTTTTACCCACAGCGCCACCCGCGTCCCTTTTAACCTCGATTATGTTAGCACAAAAAAGGGGATGAGGTGGTAAAATTGTGTCTGGAGAATGGCAGAGATGGCAGGTGGGGGAATTGCACTGTTGAACAGCTTTTTCATGGAGATAAACATTACCTACTCATAACAAATCAGCATATAAGAAGGGTAGGCCTGAATTACCTTTACGTACTAGGGTTTTGTGACTGATGTAGCATGTTCCCATCGATGGTCCACATTCCTCCCCCCATCTGAATTAGCACAGCCCAATAACAGTTGGATCACCTCATCAGCTATTTGTGAGAACTAGGTCTCAACTACACTGTCTCTCTTACTCAGTTCTGAAATATATCCCCAGGGGAAGGGATCTTCCGGCCAGGCACACTAGCATTTTGGTTTGATTTCATGCCAAGCCAAGCTGTGCAAACAGCTGTTTAAACTAGAAAAGTATTCTGAGTGGGTGCAGAAGACATGAAGGTGCCGAGTTTCCAGATTAGTGATGTTATTTCCCTTGCAAAATACTTTCTGAAATGGATAATAGCATATTATTTCCTCCCATCCATCTCACTTCAGTCATATTGATTTTCTAAGGATTTGCATCATAAATACATGTGTCCAACAGATGTGAATATAGCACATTACAATTGCATTTGCGTTTCCTTAAAGGTTATTGTCTCCAGACTGACCTTGATAAGGCAATTAAAGGAATACGAATAAAATATCCAAATTATCAACACTATGGTGTAGAAAAAGGACCACATTTTGTCAGTGAAGTACTTGAAAAATATTAACTTATATCAATACTCAAACTTATGTGGCTTTATTACTGTATTTTTCCATCTATAAGACACACCCATGTATAAGACGCCCCCTATTTTGGGGGACTCAGATTTAAGAAAATGGGGGAGATGGCCCAGGGTATAAGACACCTCCTAATTTTTGAGATTATTTTTTAAGGAAAAAACCATAGTCTTATACATGGAAAAATAATGGTATTTTTTTTGGGGGGGGGAAGGCTTAGCTCCTGGGAATTTGTTTAATCCTATCAGCCTTGATAGTAAAACAGAGCTTCTGTGTTCAGGAACAAATTATAATTATTATTTACTATTATTACCCCTGAACTGCAGGTGTGAGAGAGAACAGGGAAGGTATGTTGCTATCATGCACTCCTTGTGAGCTTTCCAGAGACCCCTGGCTCTTGTTTTTCTGGACCCCGTTGGACCGAGGCCTGAACCAGCAAGGTGGATGCACCTTGCATAATATAGCACCTTATGAGATGTTGCAATAAATAAAATCCACAAAATGAGAAAGAATAACCTGTGCTCTTCCTCTAAATACCATATTTTGCCATGCATAAGACAACCTTTTTCCTTTGAAGAAATTTAGTGATAAATTGGGGGTCGTTTTATACACGGGCTAATATGGTGAGGAGCCAGAGCAGATGATCGTCGAAAGACAGCTCAGTGAACTTACAAAAGAAGTTCAACACCTCCTTTAGCTGGTCCCCTGAATTATGCTAGTGCATATATGCTAGTGAAGTAGATGGCCTGAACTTGGGCAGAAGAGACCTTGGTCCAGATTCCCACTCAGTCATGGAAGTCATTGTGTGACCTTGGATCTTCATTATATCTTTCAGCCTCACTTTCCGAACAGATGCCCCATGAGAGTTACTCAGGGCAGGATATAAATATGATAGAAAGATAAATACTCTATTTGTAAGATTTATATCTTCCCTTTCATTGTAAGCAGTTATGGATTAGGGCACATTCAAATGAAAAACTAGGCAAAACCAGTCAATTAAAGAGTAAATTCATTTCAAATTTGAAATGCTTAACCCTTTTTACTGTGTTAATCCTGGTTGGAGGGAAGAGATGGGTTTTCAAGTGGCACCAAAAAATGAGTGCAGAAGCCTGTGCTTTTGGAGGTCTCTGGTCCACACAAACAGCTTGCTGCAAAGAGGCCTGTGGCAATTGAAAGCCGGCCTCCAGGCAGAAATGGTTCCATGTGCAGTCACCTGGGCTTGCTCTCTTCTTCCTTCCTGGGCATCAGACTTCGGAGCACAGATGCTCAAACTTCTCTCCTTGCAAAAGCTGTAGCCTTTGCTGCCTAAAGCACACTTCACAGCTTCCCATTGTCTTCTCTCCCCTAGCACTAATAGTTAAAGGATTCCCTTGCATCCACGCAACATACTGTGATGCCTCAAAAGTTCTGTTCTTCAGAATTGTTGAGGTCACAGCTGATGTCTTCTTTGTGACTGTAGTGTTAAAGCTCAGTTAATGGCTGGTATTGAGGCATTAATTAAACCATGTATGTTGCAAAGGCTGCCCTGCAAGCAGCAAGACCAGAGGCCTGGATTGGATATATAGCATAAGAGCAATTTTCATAACACTTTACAAGGTGTCTTCAGGTTTAGGCAGACCTGTCTACACCGCTATGCAGTAAACTAACTGTCATAATTCATTTGTACACTGTAAATGTCACCCACATAATCTGGTTTGTAGGGTTTAATGTACAATTATTCAAAACTGCAAGCTTGTATAAATCAATGGTAGTACAGAGGACACAGAGCTCATGTATTGCAACAGAGATACCTGGAAAACCTGGGTTTAAATCCTGATGAAGCCATGAAGTGCTCAAGGTAACTTTTGAGCGAGTTACATTCCCTCAACCCTGCTCATAAAGGGTAAGGAGGGAAAAAATGGTATAACCTATATTCTTCCTTAAGACCTTGGAAGAAACGTAGTATACAAAGTTGAGGAATACATAAATAAACAGCTGAATATTTTCTTCATGTCACTACAACATTGGTCACACCTTTCAAAAGCTACCACTTTCATCAGGCAATATGATCACTGATTTGGGTTGATTTTTAACCTCCATTTTTGTAGCAGCTCTTTCATTATTTTGAATCTGTTTCCCTACTTGTGCTGTAGTCAAGTGTTTAAATATTTGTGCTGTCCAGGTTCCAAGGCTCTGGAATATTCGAATGGCATATTTGACTGCCAGTCCCCGACGTCTCCATTCATGGGGAGCCTGCGAGCGCTGCATCTCGTGGAGGATTTGCGTGGCTTACTGGAGATGATGGAAGCGGATGAAAAAGAAGGATTGCGGTGTCAAGTCCCAGATTCGACAGCAGAGATTTTGATGGAATGGTTGCAGAGCCAAATGGTAAGGCATTTGCATGGATTATTGGCAAATACAATGTATGCAGTCATACAAGGTGGGTGTATATGTGCACTGCTTCTGTGTTTGATCTTAATGTGCACTGCTTAATGATTGTCAAATACTGCAGTGCTGCTAAATGCATATCAAAGCCCCACGTTGCCACGCTGCATTTTTGCTTGATTCCCTTAGGCTGTTTCGTCAGGTTGCTTCCTTTCTGTCTTCCTTTCACAATGAAACAGAATACATTATATTACTTAATTTTGTCTTCATCCCTGTTTTGAAAAACAATGCCGCATTCTTTTTCAAATTTTTCTGATTTGAAGGTGTGAAGCTAGGGTTGCCTAATGTCCAGATTTTCCCAGACATGTCCTCTTTTGCAAAGGTAAAATCACCATCCGGGCTAATTTTTAATATTTTGCAGAACGTCCGGCTTTTTATTTTCTGTACCATTATTACCAGGGCCGCTCTAGGACTTGCAGTGGCGAGGCCTCGTGCAGCCTTCCAGGGCTGCTCCAGGCTTTGTGGTGTTTCCAATGGCTGCCAGGCCTGCCATGACCTTTCGGGGGTCGCGCTGGGCCTGGCAGCGCCTCCATCTGGAGACACAGCGTCTCGTGAGCAGGAGGCCAAGTCTGTTGTAGAGAGGCGTAAACCACGATTATTAGCAGTATTATTGTTGTTGTTTTTATGTGTGTAATGGCTGCTCGCTAAACACAGTAAAATGGAAGGTAAGAGAGGGGAGGCACTGGCGGAGGAAGAGGAGTGCGGGGGGAGTGTCCCGCAGCACAATCCCGGCAGGGTTCCATCTCGGCTGCCCCCCCCACTCATGCTGGGTGCCCCGCCCCCAGGACGTGCGCCACCCCCCGCCTGCTCTCCGCCCCCCCCCCCCCCGGTGCCAGAGCATGAAGCTTTGCCACTGAGGGCAGGGCAGGAGGGGGTGAGCGATGGAGATACGGGATGGGGAGTTGCCTTGAATTTCTCTCTCAAAATGCTAGAGGGTATGTCATTTTCATTTTCAAAATGTCATTTAAATATTTCAATACACCTGCACAGAAACTTATTACTACTGTTTTTCTTCCTCCCCCCTCTTTCCCGGCCCACCTACAAATGTGTCCTCTTCATTGCTCTTTGGAATATGGCAACCCTAGCAAAGCCCAGACTCCTGGTAAAACTGTTGGATATTTTTAAGAATTCATGCACCAGTCTTGGTTCAATTGATTCAATCTGCCTTGTGGCTGTTCTTATTACTCTAAATTTTATATTGTACCTTAAGATCCCAGCTCACGTTGAGCATGACAGTGTTTTTACATAGCAGTGCTGTACTGAATCTTTGTGGGATTTAATTTGTAAGAAACTTGGCATTTTGGGTTGGGAGGATCTTCTTCTGGAAGAGGTTGGTCTTTGTGAAATATGGTGAATAACTCACAGCGTAAGTTACTCATGTGATAACTTGATGGGGGAACGGCATCTTTTCAGTGTAAAAAAAGAAGACTTTTTTCAGTGTATGGAAGAAGGGCAGGGGGATCGATGGAACCCTGTGGGTACCATGGAAAGCTACAGGGTGCAAGTGTGCCCACGAGCAACACATTGGCAATCCATGCACAACATATTCTTTGGACAGGTCCAAAAATGGTAGAATACTGGAATGCAGTCTTGACAGAAATAAGAAAAAAGTCATTGGATATAATAATAATAACAAAATTGGATGTTAACTACCAGAAGGTCCTTTAATTGCATTATTTGGCTATCTTAAAAGACTGGAATCCCAAGATCTAGAAATGGCAATGAATCTGCCAACAGATACTTGAATGGCCATTTGCCAAAAATGGAAAAAAAGCTAGACCCTCCTACAATAGTAGCTTGTTTAAAAAGAATCCGGGAAATAGCTTATATTAAGTTAACTGAAGAAGAAGAGCAGCTGGAGAATAAATTTGTTGAGAAGAGGAGCCTGTTTGTTTCATAATGGAGCAACAGTGTGCAAGATACAATGAGACCATTCCCAGTACTAGTGACATAGTTAGTGTTAAATAAGGGCAAAGAAACAATGTGAATGTAATTCAACAACAACAAAAATACCGTATTTTTCCATGTATAAGATGAGTTTTTTTAGTTTTTTTTTTAAGGGTTTTAAATTGGGGCTCGTCTTATACATGGGTAGTGCTGAGGGGTGTTTTCTTAATTTGGAGTCCCCCAAAATAGTCTTATACATGGGGGCGTCTTATACACAGAAAAATATGGTATATATGATCAGGCAGTTCTAAGCATTTAGCACAATTATGAAAGGTAGTTAATTATTTGGTGCCTATTTGAACATAGTGGTGGTCATTTAATGATTGAGCAATAAACTGATGCAACCAGGATCAATAAAAACAGTGGGATTTTTTTGTTTTGTTTTGTTGAAGGGCTGGTTTGATGTTCCAATATTTATTAGAAATAAGCTAGGTTAAAAGTTACGTTGCATCATTTAAAGTCAATAAAAGGCAAAAGTGAGTAGTGTGTGTTACCTAGTGAGTAGTGATATTCCTCCCCAACCCCTTGATGACTGAGTGTGGAAATTCTCTGAAGCACTTAAAAAATGCACCATCCATAAATGTGAGATACACCACATTCTAGTTTGAAAGGGAAGTCGCCATTGTTTCTCTGCCCCAGTATGCCTTGCTGGGAATGGAGATTATTGCAGCAGGCGTGGTCTAATCTGACTATATCTGCAAAACTCCTCCTCCCTTCCACTTCAAGACCTTCACAAACAACAGACTTGGGCATTTTGGCAGGCCAAGCAAGGTATTTTGCTCTTCCTTCCTTTTGCTGTTCAAGTTATTTAACATCCAGGCTGAAGACAACTTCCAGAGATTGCAAAAAAGCTATTTGTGACTATTCTGCTTGGCCCTAATAAAGGGCATTTCCCCAGATGACCTTTTATTGAGCATTCATCCCGACTGGTTTGCAGTGTTATCCCAAACTTTCCACCGCCATTTCCCCATCACTTTCCTCACGGCAAAATGCAGTCTTTGGGGGAAGTGAGTTTGTTGGCACATGACCCAGCATGTGATTGAATCCCACTTGAAATTAACAAGAGTCTGGAAGCACCCAAATATAATGCCCTGCTGTCGCTGCTTGGATCCCCCCCGGGACTAAGACAGCTTGCTGCACGATTTGTGAGACCTGTAACTATTTTTACAGCTCATCGCTCCTCTGAGGGCAAACCATGTCCTTTGCAGAGCATGTCAGCCTCCTCTTCCCCTTGGTAAGGACAACTTGTTATTGAGAATCGTCTTCCTTTCCCAGCCTCGGCTTTAGTTCAGTTCCAAAATTAATAGCCAAGGTGCCTGCCTAATGCCAATGGACAGGGAGTTATGGGTTTTGCTACACTGAAATATGGATTCCTTGCAAATGTGGAACAAATCCTGAGTGGCAATGAACATGAAGGGTTCTTTTTCAAAGCGGAATCTTGCAAATACTTAATAGATTTGCTTTTCATTAGCCTTAAGATGCCATCTGCTGGAAGACAGGTGTCTGTGCAACCGCAGCTCAGAATCTCCTCAAACTTATAGGATGTGAAGCTTATAGGATGCAAACATGCATGCAATTATGTAGAGTGCATTGATATACCATGGTTGATACAGATAAACCATTTAAAAGGAAGGGCCATGGGAGAGGGGAGATCACACACTGGTTATTTTTTTCTTTCACAGGTGTCCTTTATTGTAAAAATGGGAGAAATAAAATTTGAGGAGTTTAGCAGGCTTGTAGGGGCAGTTCAGCCTGGACTTAAATTTGCTTTTAATCCAATTTAGCGTGAATTTAAGTGTGGTTTAGCAATAAAATACCTAGATTGAACTTCACACGTTTTCAACAAGAGATGTAGAGCATTGAGCTGCAGAGCAAAAACACAGTATGATGATTATCAATTTAACAATGTTTTCCCCCTATCATGCCTTCAGGCAGCCTTTGTGTGTTCGTATCAATTTGATTTGCTTCAGAAGTTTTTAAATTATTATTATTATTATTATTTTATTTTGTCTTGCTGCTCAGCTGCATTTCTTTGCCCTGCAGCCATTTTTGGAAATGCTGAATGTGCAAGAAATGAATTTGGGTCATAGGAGGCGAGTTTCTCACTTCTCATTTTCAAGATCCCCTTCAACCTTCTGGTGCTGAATTATATAGTTATTGCTTCAGGCCTCCTCAGTCTCACTCATTATATTTCAGCATCTCAAAAACTAGGAAATGACCTCACTTGCACTTAGATGTTGCTTGTACATATAAAAATGTGCTTCACGGTGAATAAAATTCCATTCCCGTTCAACAAGGAAAATGTATTATTTAACCACAAATGGTTAAATTTCTTAAGATTCAGGCTGAAATTTCTAATTTTCAGAATCATATGTAGGATCCTGCTCTTGTGTGAGCAGACTATCTTCATAATATACTGCTCAGGCAGTTCCAACTGATCCAAGCCTGTGCATAAGATGGGGGTGTAACCTTTGCTGTACAGTATCTTTTATCGGTCTTCCATGAATCAAGACTCCCATCTCCCAATAACTCATTACGAGCTGGACAGATTCAGGTACCAACCCAACTAATTATGAATTTTGGCAATGTTTCTTCACCAGACTAGGGAGACCCAGTCTGGAACCTGCTCAACTACAAATCTCAATTCACACTCTCTGGATAGATTGAAATAAAACTGGGGAAGCGGGGGGGGGGGTCGTATATTCTTATCTTTAGCTCAATGGAAGAATCAATTTGAATTGGTAACATACAAAAACTCTACTGTCTAGGGCTATTCTCACACTCATTATTTCTAGTTTGTTGGGAAGCATGTGATAGCATTGGCCTATGTTTTGTTTTTGTTTTTTTAAATTGTGTCATCCAGCATTTAGCTTCCTCTTAGTTTTTGATTTAGGGGCATGACATAATCACCCTGTTACTTTTTAGATTATTGAAATGTTTGTGGGTATGGCATTATCAGCCTTTGGATGCTCCTTCTCCACATAGGATAACGCTCTGTGTGTGTGTGTGTGTGTGTGTGTGTGTGTGGCATTGGTGCTGCACCCTGAAGCCTTTGTTGCACTCATCTGGAATTTTACTTAGTTCTATAATTTGAGTCATTCTGATGGAACAGTCTTAACAGCAGACCAGTGTGTCCCTTATTTTGTTTTCCAGACCAACGGACATATCTCCACAAATGGAGATGTGTATCAAGAGCGGCTTGCACGTTTGGAAAATGACAAGGAATCTCTTGTACTTCAAGTGAGTTCTTTTCCAAGTTTGTTCCTTCTTTGTTTCTATGAAGAATAGAGCTTTTGATGTCAATTTGATCACTCTTGACTGTGGGTTCACACAGTCAAGTTTATACGCTCCCCTCCTTAAAATTGTATCAGATGTGCAGGGATCAAGGTGTAGAGAAAATGTTCTTGAAAGGAAGAAGAAAGGGAATTTTCCTTGAGGGGAAAAACTACATTTCTCAGCTGCCATCAACTCCGGCTGGTGGCCCAGCTGCACCCTTATCTGCCAAGAGAGCTTCACTTCTGTTGTTTATGCTTTGATAATCTCTAGGTTAGATCACTGCAACATGTTATACATAGGGATGCCTCTGAAGATGGTTCAGAAACTTCAACTGGTACAGAATTTGGTGGCCAGGTTGCTCACAGGCAAGATGGCTTCAGCATATAACACTGATCCTGGCCCAGCTGCACTGGTTGCCGGTTAGTTTCCAGGCCCAGTTCAAAGTGCTGGTTTTGAGCTAAAAAGCCTTAAACCACAATACCTAAAGGATTACCTCTCCTCATGTCATCTGAGGGCCTTCTTTGTGTGCCTCCTCCATGAGAGATCAAGAGAGTGACAACACAGAAACAGGTCTTTTCTGTGGTGGCTCCACACTTGTGGAGCCACTCCAGGGAAGCTTGTCTGATGCCTTCATTACTTATCGTTAGGCACCTGGCAAAAATTTTGCTCTACAACCAGGCCCTTGGCCTCTAACTGTAGCCTTTTAAAAGTGGGTGTGATATTTTTAATGTACAGTTGTACCTTGGAAGTCGAATGGAATCCATTCCACTTCCAAAATGTTCGGAAACCAAAACACGGCTTCTGATTCGCTGCAGGAAGCCCCGTCAGATGTTTGGCTTCCAAAAATAGTTCGCAAAAATCACTTCCAGGTTTGCAGAGCCAAAATGGTACGACTGTATTTCTTTTTCCTCTTGTTTTAATGTATCTGTATAGGGCTTCTGTTTGTCTGTCTGTTTCTTTGTAAGCTGCTTTGGCTTTCTCTGGGCAAGATAAAATGAAATAATAATAATAATAATAATAATAATAATAATAATAATAATAATAATAGAAATAAAAAATGATGCAGTCCATCATGACACATTTTCCATGTGTCAGTATGACTGTGCATGCTGTTCCCATGTCCATTTTATGTTTACAAACTGTATTCTTAGTGGAGCCTCCAGTGGCAGGGTATATTTATTTGTAAATTAAGTATTATCTCCCCCTTGACCCTCATGGAGAAACTTCCTGGAAGGGTGAATATAATCATTCTTAGTTATATGGTAAGAATTGCTGTGGTAACTTTTGTGCCCTTGTTCTGTCTTTAGTAAATAAAACCTGCTTTATTAAGGGAACGTACTATTGGTGGAAAGGACTATTCAAGATAAAAATATTAACTACATAGAAGAAAAAGCCTTGCTGAGGAAGAATCAGCGTAGCTTCTACAAAAGGAAGTCCCTCCTCGTTTATATTTGAGAGTCTCCACAAGCATCTGAAAAGAGATAGTCCAGCAGATGTTGCATATTTGGGCTTCCACGTAGCCTTTGACAACATTCCTCACCAAAACCTCCTAAATAAACTTTGCAGTAATGCGAACAAGGATAGGTTATTTTTGCAGATTAGCTACTGGCTAAACAACAGAAAGCATAGAACAAGAATAAATAGGCAGTTCTCATAGAGGAAAGTAAAAAGTTAAAAGAACTCCCATATTAGGCTTAAGTTTATCAGAACAAGTTAACTCAAGTCTGTAGGAAAATTCTGTCTCCTAAGGGAACTGGTTATGTATGTGGATGGAAAGTTTAGTCCTGATGTGCTCTGATTGTCCTTTGCCATTCCTATAGATTTGTCTTATCAATAGTGGTTTGTAGGTCTGCCCTGATCGTAGCTGGTGGTTGTTCGGATAATCAGAAATATAAAACATATCCATCACCATCTTTTTGTTAGTTAGTTAGTTAGTTAGTTAGTTAGTTAGTTATGTAACTCCAGATGGAAATGTCCTACTTAGAAATGAGGTGCATTGATAGATCTGTGTATCCTGTTTTTGTGCAGGTGAGTGTCCTTACTGATCAGGTGGATGCTCAAGGAGAAAAGATAAGAGATCTGGAGCTCTGCCTAGACGAACACAGAGAGAAGCTGAATGCCACAGAAGAAATGCTGCAGCAGGTATTGATGGAAATAGATTTTTTTTTTAAAGTTGGTTTTTCTATCAGTCTTTGTTGCTTTTTTGCAGCTATTTTAGTATTAATTATTATGTTGCTTTTGTTAATGGGTCTATTTAAAATGTAAAAGGAAGTGAAAATGGGGCTTTCCTGCCCTAAACTATTCAAATTGTGAACCAGTTTGAATAAAATGGCAAGTGTCCTGATGGTATAAAATAAACCACTGGTCCACATTAGAAGAAGAAGAGAAAAGAAGAGTTTGGATTTGCTATCCCGCCTTATCACTACCCGAAGGATTCTCAAAGCGGCTAACATTCTCCTTTCCCTTCCTCCCCCACAACAAACACTCTGTGAGGTGAGTGGGGCTGAGAGACTTCAAAGAAGTGTGACTGGCCTAAGGTCACCCAGCAGCTGCAGGTGGAGGAGTGGGGAATCGAACCCGTTTCACCAGATTACGAGTCCACCACTCTTAACCACTACTCCACACTGGCTCTGCATTCGCTCACACATTAGACCTGCATTGTGACTAGATGCAAAGTGGGATGTTGGGTCTTTAGAAGTTCTGAAGAAGGATTTTTACCAGTGCACTTTTTATTCCTGCAGGCTGTGATTTTATTTATTTGTCTATTTAAAACACTACTGCCCTTCAAAATTCTAAATATTATCAATAAAATAAATGTGTTAAAATGCAGGAAATCCATCAACACCTACAGTTAACTAATTGCACCTGCTGAAATCCCCATAGGATTAGCATAGGAGCAATGTCCCATTTGCTTACTGGCCAGTAAACTAAAAACTCCTAATCTCATCAGAGGAATAGTTGTCACTGACTAAATTTCCTTTCAGGAAGCTATTTTGGTTTGCTTGGTCTGCAGTCCTAATGCCACACAACTGACAGTAAGCCCATTAAATTCAGTAGGACTGACTTCTGAGTAGATATACTTAGGAGTGTGCTGTTGCCATAGGTTTTTTCTTGTTTTGAACTTGGAGGTCTACGTTTATGGTCATATGAAAATCCAACGAATAGCTCTCAAATGAATCAATTTTTCTTATCAGGAGCTCTTAAGCAGAACATCCCTTGAAACTCAAAAGCTAGACCTTATGGCAGAAGTTTCCAACTTGAAGCTCAAGCTGACAGCTGTGGAAAAGGATCGACTTGATTATGAAGACAGATACAGAGACACAGAGGTAAGGTAGATTACTCATGGCTGAAACTTTTGTATCTTGTAATTCCTCAAACAAAAGTTTGTTTTGATATTTGTGGTGGAGGAGTGATATTTTTATATCCTTTTTACTGTTAAAAATGAAACTTGTCGTTTCGGATTTGCCTAGACCAGAGGTTTTCAACCTTTTTGAGTCCACGGCTCCCTTAACCAACCACATTTTTTCTGCATCACCCCTGTGGGACTCAGAAGCCCCATTAGGTCACCCCTTGCCTGCCTGGGAGCCTCTCACCCGCTTTCAAACATCCTCCCTTGTGGAGTGTTTCCTCAGCATCCTTGCCCTCTCCCCTTTCCTTGGGAGTCCTCCGGGCAGATGCTGCCGCTGTCGCTGGTCTCTGAGCTGCCCTCCTCCCAAATAGAGGGGCCTTTCAGAGGCACCCTTCGCCTGTGGAGCTTATAGCCAGGGCTATTGCAATAAACAGCTATGTAAACCTTTGGGAGGCAGAGATGTGAGGGGGCATCGGAGGAGGGAGGGAGGAAAGAGAGAGAGAAGCCGGTGTTGCCAGTGGTACCCCTGACCAACATTCAGGGCACCCCAGGGTGCTATGGCACACTGGTTGAAGACCACTGGCATCGGCCATCACAAAAATACATGCACAACTTGTGACCTGCCAGAGCAACTGTTGTCCACCAGTTCCGCATTGTGAGCTGCTGGTCCCATGCAAATCACAAAAACCGGAGGTTCAGCTGAAGCATTTGGATTCAGGATTCAGCCTGATCAGTCATTTAAGTTAAAGTACTGGAATTCTTCATGCAGTCCCTCTTATGTTGGATGCAGTCCAGAATAACAGAGTGTAATAAATAAGTATCAAGAAAAGAAATCGGAATAATCAGAAATAGTAAAGGTACAACAGCAGTTTGCTTGGAAGCTTGTACAAAGGAATTCATGTACAGTGGTGCCTCGCAAGACGAAATTAATCCGTTCCGCGAGTCTCTTCGTCTTGCGGTTTTTTCGTCTTGCAAAGCACGGCTATTAGCGGCTTAGCAGCTATTAACGACTTAGCGGCTTTAAGAAAAAGGAAACAAACTCACAAGAACTCGCAAGACGTTTCGTCTTGCGAAGCAAGCCCATAGGGAAATTCGTCTTGCGGAACGACTCAAAAAATGGAAAACTCTTTCGTCTTGCGCGTTTTTCGTCTTGCGAGGCATTCGTCTTGCGAGGTACCACTGTATCTTGTAATAGGCAAGATTGTTCAGTTTCTCTTCCAAAAGTAGTTTTACCTATTACAAGATAGAGGATTTTTTCATGCCCTTCTTGTCTGCTCTCTAGAAGTATCTGGTTGCTCACTATGGGAAACAGAAAGCTGCAAGTGCACGAATCATAGGTCTGCTCTAGCAGGCCTGCTTTTTACAGCGGCTAACCAGATGCTTCTAGGGAGGGCATGAAGAATGTTTCTCCCTCTTCCTGGAAATTGATACCCAGAGGGATCCTGCCTCTGAACACTTAGTCATCATAGCCAATAGCAGCCATGGATCTCTCCTAACCAAATTTGTCTTTTAGATTCAAGGTTATACAGTGGTACCTCGGGTTAAGTACTTAATTCGTTCCAGCGGTCCGTTCTTAACCTGAAACTGTTCTTAACCTGAAGCACCACTTTAGCTAATGGGGCTGCCATGCCGCCACCGTGCAATTTCTGTTCTCATCCTGAAGCAAAGTTCTTAACCCGAGGTACTATTTCTGGGTTAGTCTGTAACTTGAAGCGTATGTAACCTGAGGTACCACTGTATAACGTTATGGCCGTTGGCACATTAGGTGTCCATGAACTTCATAGATTAAGTACTTCTGTGAATAATTTCTGTCTGCCAGGAGTTCCCACACTCCCACACCCACAGGTCTCTGAAATAATGAGGTTTAGGTTCATAGATTCATAGAAGCGTAAAGTTGGAAGGGTCATTTAGTCAAAGCCCCTGCAATGCAGCAATCTTTTGCCCAATGTGGGGCTCAAACCCAAGATTAAGAGTCTCATGACTGAGCTATCCCAGGCAAGCAAATGCTCCAGAAGTGGCTTAGTCCTGCTGGCCACATGAACCAGAAAACTGTCTGTGGACAAATGCTGGCTCTCTCGGCCTGAAGCGAGATGAGTGCCACATCCCATAGTCACCTTTGACTGAACTTAACCATCCAGGTGTCCTTTACCTTTATCTTTTTTTACCTAGTAACTTACTACATTTGGAAAACAAGGCTCTCAAGTAGGCTGAGGGTGTGTGTGTGTCTACCTGCCACAGGGTGTGCACACATGGTCACACGTGTGTGTGTATTCACTAAAGTTGGCCTGCTTGAACATTTCTGTCTCATTCAACTTTGATCTCTTTCAGTGCCAGTAAGAACAGTTAGAAAGAGGATTCCAACTGCTTTGCTTTACTCTCCCATGAATTTTCAGTTTAAAATAAGAATTACTTTTCCTGCCTTATACTTTTTAAATAGGGCTTGATGCAAGAAATTAATGAATTGCGGCTAAAAGTAGGAGAAATGGACAGCGAGAGACTTCAGTATGAGAAAAAGCTTAAATCTACCAAAGTAAGTAATGTGAGCTGTGTGTGAGAGGTGGAAAGGCTGTTTTCAAAACCCGAACTTAGAAAAGAGGGTTGTCTGCTTTTGAAAAAAGAATCACGGGGGCACGAATACTTCATCATACTTTATTATACTTTGATATTTGTAGGCATTTTATAAAGGGGTGGTTCACTGATGTGGCAGTCCACAAACTGTAGCCTTAGAGGTGTGCAGGGTCGTAAATCCAGGCAGAATCTGCTTGTCAGGCAGGGTGGAGTCGCTGTGGTATCGTCCTGGAAGAGGGACTGCTGTTTCTTGCTGGCAGGGAGAGCAGCCGAGGTTGGATGAGGTGAGGTGAGGTGGCAGGAAGGCTGGAGTAGTGCAGATGAACCAGCAGAGCCAACTCAGGCGCTCCTGAATTGCATTTTTGCCATGTGGACCTTCCTGCTACTTTGCCCCTCCTGGATAGCAACAGCAGCCCACTGCCAGGAAGCTGGCGTAGCTGCTCCCCCTCATGCAGCAAGTCACTTCTGCATCTGGGATCACATACAGGTGATGTTCATATGAGCTGGTGCATCCAGATAGGAAGTAGCATCATGGCAGCCCCAACATGCATGATTGTAGTGTCTTTTTGAGCCACGCCAGCAGTCCTAAAGGCAATCCTGCTGTATTTATCTCATAGAGAACCCATTGCACAGAACGTTGCACAGCTTATGTAAGAATCCTTTGAGAAACTGGAAGAAAGTTCCATGAAATCCACTCTGGTTTATTTGGACTTAAATGTGTTTCATGGGGGATCATTTTTAGCCTTGTTTCTTTTCTGTCTTTACTTCTCTTTCACTCCTCTGTCTCTATTACCAGTCTTTAATGGCCAAACTTTCTAGCATGAAAATCAAAGTGGGCCAGATGCAGTATGAAAAGCAGCGGATGGAACAAAAATGCCAAATGTTAAAGGTGTGGTTGGGCCTGGTTTTCAACTCATTTCTTTACCACAGTGTTTTGTGACCCCCTGTTCCATTTTGTGTTTCCGCCTTGTTGTTCAAAAGATAACTGTTTTCCCTGCACATTTGCTTTTTTAAAAACAGTTTTCATTTGGGTTTGTAATGAGGGCAGTCAGTGCCCAGGATGAATTTTTAACCAGGGCCTCAATAACATGAATGTGTTGACTAGATCATTCATTGATAGTGGGCATGTCTACACTAAAGACTTAAAGAGGTTTAGCACTTCTGTCTTCTCCGAGAACCCTTGGAATTGCTTTTACTCCCCTGCTCCCAGGGTGTTTTGGGGAAGCAGTACTGGGTGAAAGTGGTATAATACTAATATAAGACAGTCTTGTAGATATGGATATGAATACACCCACCCATAGCCATATACACACACGCACACATGTGGAATTTCCTGTTCAGCACTTGGTGGGAAGGAGAATGGTCAAGTATATGCTTTGTTTGTAGGAGGCCCACAGTTACATCTCTGGTGCCTCCAAGTAGGGCTCCAAGAGAGCGGCTGCCAGCCAGTGTCAGCAGAACTGGTCTGACCCAATATAAGGCTGCTTCCTATGTTACAATTGCCAGTTGTGTGTGTGGATAACACTATTTATGGCCTGAGCAATACATGGGGTTTGTTCTTACAAGAAATCTCCATATCTTTCCATAGTACATGGCATTTTCATATGTATTCTTCCCTCTTCCATCTACCCAAAATATCATGCATACATTATTTCACTGCACTGTTAAATTAGATTTTATGCTATGAGCATGCCTCGAGTTGTTTTTTGGTTTACCGCATTAAGGCTGAAATCCAGTGCACACTTACCTGGGAGTAAGTGGCTCTCATTTCAGAGGTAGACATGCCTAGGACTCCTTAATGCAACACTTGGCGAAAGTGTTTCATGCATGTCTAAAAGGTGAATAAAATCCTTTTAGTGTCACTTTTCAAATTCAAATGAAGACATTATTAAACATTTAAATTGGAGATGGGATTGCTGTGATTGGGAGGCAGGCTGCCCATGCATTTTGTGATGCAGGGAGAAATTGTTTGTTGTAAAGACTGTAAAGGGTTTGATGAGGGCCCTGTGGAACGCCCTCCCACCAGATGTCAAGGAAATAAACAACTATCTGACTTTTTGAAGACATCTGAAGGCGGATGGAAGTTTTTAATGTTTGATGTTTTATCACTTTTTTATTATTAATAATATTCTGTTGGAAGCTACCCAGAGTGGCTGGGGAAAACCAGGGATGGTTATAAATTATTATTATTATTATTATTATTATTATTATTATTATTAGTTTCTAAAATGAATTTTAATCTGAAGACCATCTCCAACTTAAATGATTAACTTCAGTTTAGGACCGCCTTTTAAAACACAAAGCTAGTTTTTAAACAGATGTGTTGATTTTCTGTTTGCGCAGGAAGAACTGTCATCATTAAAAGATAAATTAGAACAGAAGGAAGCTGAGATAAAACAGTTGCAAGAGAGACTGGCTCACCAGGTGAAAGGAGATGGGGTGGACATAAATGACAGAGGTAAGGAAACCAGCATTGAGGCTCCCTAAAGCCATGGTGTATCTACTGTGGTCTGTGGTTTATGACTTGTCCGTTCTACGAAAAGGCTCAGTTAAACCTACAGACATAGGCTGGTGTATTAGGGTCACCATATTTCAAAAGTGAAAATCCAGACACAAAAGTTGTTGATTGAGCTTTTTTTGGGAAATCGAACGCACACTTCCTTGTTGTGTTGGCAAAAACCCAGACATTTTGCTGATTTTTTTGAAATTACCATTGAACGTATGGCAACCCTAGATGTATGCATCTTGAGACCATTTTCTGCTGTTTAATTGCAGGAAGAATTAGAATTGTCGTGTTGGAAGGGACCAGGGGGTTGGTCGTCTAGTCCAACCGCCTGCAATGCAGGAATCTTTTGCCCAACGTGGGGCTCAAACCCCCAACCCTGAGATTGAGAGTCTCATGCTCTACCAACTGAGCTATCCCAGAAGCTACCACTTCTCAAATCTCAACCCATATGCGTTTTAAAAGACACCCTTCATAGAAAAAGTAATAAACAGACTGGGTCATACCATCTTCATTTGCACATGGCATCTCCCTAGGACCTGATTTTTTTCCATGGATGGGGCAGGTTCTCAGGGAAATACTAGTCTCCAATAAACATGGTAAACTATAGGTGGCCTGGTCGTTGCTTTCTGTTTGTTGTAAAGGGGAGAGGTTATGTACAGGTGCACAAGACTCAAACTAGGTTAAAATTTATTTCTGGAAAGTAATGAGGGAACAAACCTGGAGAATGTTGACTTCTGTATGGCTAAGATAGTAGCATATTTGAGATTTAAGTTGGCTGAATGCTGGCAGGACAATGTATAACTGCTTCTCTTTGTTGCTTAGCAACATAACAAAGCATAACAAAGCAACAATTAACATATATTTAAATTCATTTCTCCATGGTCTGCATTTTATTTCCACATAGGACTGCTTTATTTGTCATGAGTCGTTATGTTTAAATGATCATGGATCTGCAAAATTACTCTAGGAAATTACTATCCTCTAAGATGTATTACTAGGAATAAAAGATATGTTCACATTTTCAGATTGGGATGAATTCCTTGATAGAGTAAAATACAATAGAGCTTATTTATTTATTTTAAATACTGATGACTCTCCTATAATCATTGCTCTCAAAGTGATTTAAAGCAAAATAAAATACAGAATAACATATCATAGACAGAACAGCAGAGTTTTAAGAGTGAGCGGATAAAAAATAACATTCCTAAAATGCTCGCTGAAATAAAAATGTCTCAAAGGGACACTGAAATCCATACAGCTTTGCCATCTGAGGATAAGTTATTATGTAAACAAATCCCAAGTTGAGCAGTTTTGAGAGATCCTAGGTATTATCATGTGTCAGTGACAGATTCTAAAACAATATATTTCAAAAATTAATTAACGGTGAGGCAACGGCAGCATGGATCTCATAAGTACGTGGATGGGAGACCACTGGAATATAAGCATTCGAAAGGAAAGATGATTTGCAAATATAAAAAATAAATAAATAAAAAGATTACCATAGTAATTATTATAAATAGTTGTATCTTGGCAAGTTCAAAATAGGGATGGGGATGTATGTAAAAATGTGCTGAATTCTTCCCTCTGTGAAGAGATTTGTGCAATAAGATACAAAACCTAGAGTCACTTTTATGAAAATTGTAAGGGGATGCAGCTCAAACACTACTTTATTATATGAATCATGAATAAGAACTGTACTATGTATGACTTTATTTTCATTACTGTTGAAATTGCTTTAATGCTTATAAACTCCATCTAACTCCAAATTCAATGGGTTTTCCTGCACAGATGAAAATTGTAAAAAGAAGCTCAAAGACAAAAGTAAGGTTTTTGGTGTCTTTCCACAAGAACTTACATTTGACACACTTTTCCAGTACAGCTTTCTGCATGTGTCATATAAAACAATTTTAACAAAATGCTGTTAGACTGCTTCATCTTCCATCCTCATTTTCAATGGAAATCAAAATGGAAAGAGTAAAATGAAATCTTTTATTTTAAATATTCCATTTTTTTGTTTCAAATTGGAAAACATTTGATCCATTGATTTCTTGCCTAAGAAATAAACTAAATATTTAATAAACATTCTATTTTAATCTATTTGCCAGGATTAATCTCAGCATAGGCTGTATCTATATATTCTATTCTCACAAGAACAATCTATTTTCTTTCTGGTTTATTTTATATCTTTCTATTTTTGGTACCCTCTAAGAGGAAAAGCAATTGGGCCATAAGGCCACTCAGAATTAAGGATGCTGTCAAGAGACATTGGTTTCAGCAGGCTAACTTTGTGGGTTAGTTTCCCACCAAATGCAGAACCATGATCTGGCATTGCATGAATGAACCCTGTGCTTGCGTGTTCCAGTGCTTTCTCTCACTACTGATTTAATGAAAAAACATCCAAACAGGGCAAACTATTCTTTGTGCAAACCATAGTTTGAATGTCATTTGTGCACAAACTATAGCTTTTCTACTTTGCATGTGTGATGGGATGATGAGCTGCTTGTGCGTAAAATCGTAGTCCCTCAGAGTTTGTTCAAGCCCACAACTTCTGTCTGTGACAGAGCCCCTCAGACATGGCTGCTCTAGTCACTTGCAGATTCCGACAGTGGTTGCTTTCGGATTGTTTCGCAGCAATAAAGCTCCTTAACGGAAACACGTCTTCTGGACTCACGGCGTGACAGTTTCCCCGGCGAGGAGTGGGTCTTCCCTATGGGAGCTTCAGATACCTCCCCACTGTTCTCGCTGGACGTGTCCCTGAGCCCTCCCTCCTGCTCGCTTTCCCTCAGAGATCCACCTCTCCCCCTGCTGGTTCCTTCTTCAGCTGCTGAGTCTCTCCCAGCCTGCGTGAGCCCTTCCGCCACCGGTTCCTCCGATGGCAGTTCCCTGACAGCATGTAACTACAACCTATGATTTGCTACTAAATTGGCAATGAGGAACTAAACTGGAGCACACAGAATAGAATCATAGAATTGTAGAGTTGGAAAGTTCACCTCTTACACATGAGGTGGGAGGGAGAAGGGAGCACAGAACTTTAAGAGAAACAGACCAGACAAGAAAGGAGGAGGAGTGGCGTTATATGTCAGGGATGTGTATACCTGTGAAGAGATCCAAGATTTAGAACCTCAAAGCCAAAGTGAGAGCATTTGGGTCAAAATTAAACCGACCTGATCTGAGCTGGGGGGGAGGAAGCAAGCCTGCTTCCCCCCCCCCTTCCAGCCCCACAACCTCCAGATCAAGGTCGGGAATAGCGGGATGGACGGCCTCCGCCATTCCCGGCTATTCCCCGACCTTGATCTGGAGGCTGGGGTGGGAGAAGCAAGCCTGCTTCTCCCCCCCCCAGCCCCACAACCTCCAGATCACGGTCGGGAAATAGCGGGATGGCGGCGCTCCGCCATCCCGCTATTCCCCGACCTGATCTGGAGGCTGGGGGTGGGAGAAAGCAAGCCTGCTTCTCCCCCCCCTCCAGCCCCCACAAACCTCCAGATCAGGTCGGGAAATAGCGGGATGGCGGCGCTCCGCCATCCCGCTATTCCCCGACCTGATCTGGAGGCTGGGGGTGGGAGAAGCAAGCCTGCTTCTCCCCCCCCCAGCCCCACAACCTCCAGATCAGGTCGTGGAATAGCGGGATGGCGGCGCTCCGCCATCCCGCTATTCCCCGACCTGATCTGGAGGCTGGGGGTGGGAGAAGCAAGCCTGCTTCTCCCCCCCCCCAGCCCCACAACCTCCAGATCAGGTCGGGAAATAGCGGGATGGCGGCGCTCCGCCATCCCGCTATTCCCCGACCTGATCTGGAGGCTGGGGTGGGAGAAGCAAGCCTGCTTCTCCCCCCCACCATCCCCACAACCTCCAGATCAGGTCGGGAATAGCGGGATGGGGGCGCTCCGCCATCCCGCTATTCCCCGACCTGATCTGGAGGCTGGGGGTGGGAGAAGCAAGCCTGCTTCTCCCCCCCCCAGCCCCACAACCTCCCAGATCAGGTCGGGAAATAGCGGGATGGCGGCGCTCCGCCATCCCGCTATTCCCCGACCTGATCTGGAGGCTGGGGTGGGAGAAGCAAGCCTGCTTTCTCCCCCCCCCAGCCCCACAACCTCCAGATCAGGTCGTGGAATAGCGGGATGGCGGCGCTCTCGCCATCCCGCTATTCCCCGACCTGATCTGGAGGCTGGGGGGGGAGAAGCAAGCCCTGCTTCTCCCCCCCCCCCAGCCCCACAACCTCCAGATCAGGTCGGGAAATAGCGGGATGGCGGCGCTGCCGCCATCCCGCTATTCCCCGACCTGATCTGGAGGCTGGGGGTGGGAGAAGCAAGCCTGCTTCCCCCCCCCCTTCCAGCCCCACAACCTCCAGATCAGGTCGGGAAATAGCGGGATGGCGGCGCTCCGCCATCCCGCTATTCCCCGACCTGATCTGGAGGCTGGGGGTGGGAGAAGCAAGCCTGCTTCCCCCCCCCTTCCAGCCCCACAACCTCCAGATCAGGTCGGGAAATAGCGGGATGGCGGCGCTCCGCCATCCCGCTATTCCCCGACCTGATCTGGAGGCTGGGGGTGGGAGAAGCAAGCCTGCTTCTCCCCCCCCCCAGCCCCACAACCTCCAGATCAGGTCGGGAAATAGCGGGATGGCGGCGCTGCCGCCATCCCGCTATTCCCCGACCTGATCTGGAGGCTGGGGGTGGGAGAAGCAAGCCTGCTTCCCCCCCCCTCCAGCCCCACAACCTCCAGATCAGGTCCGGGAAATAGCGGGATGGCGGCGCTCCGCCATCCCGCTATTCCCCGACCTGATCTGGAGGCTGGGGGTGGGAGAAGCAAGCCTGCTTCTCCCCCCCCCAGCCCCACAACCTCCAGATCAGGTCGTGGAATAGCGGGATGGCGGCGCTCCGCCATCCCGCTATTCCCCGACCTGATCTGGAGGCTGGGGTGGGAGAAGCAAGCCTGCTTCTCCCCCCACCAGCCCCACAACCTCCAGATCAGTAACCCCCGCAGCCACAACTCACGCGGGAGAGGCGCCCGCCCTCCGCTTCCCGATTCTGAAGCTGAAGGGGGGAGAAGCAAGCCTGCTTCTCCCCCCCCCAAGCCCCCCCACAACCCAGATCA